ATTTCTGCCTTGTCATTGCAGGAACATTCTAATGGGTTCGGATTGTCAACTGCCGTATCAGGATGACTGCCATGGGGTAAGCCACCATTGGTTAAATCTGTTGGAACTTTTTATAAGCGCTTCTCTTGCTTTATTGGCGTTTTTTGTGGCTGTAACTTCTTTATATTTTCTAATACTCCCCTTGGTCTCTACAGGCATTGCCACTTCCATGAGATTGTGCCATTGGAGCAGATTCAAACGGTCGAATTGGAGCAGTAGTCCGCCGAGGCCTTGCATACGCTGGAGTCCAGAATAAGCCACTCTAACCCATTTCTTCTATATTCACTTGTAAACTATTTCTTGTCCACCTGTTTCTGATTAGATATTCTTCACAGGTGAATGGCGTGAGCACAAAGGAGATTCGGAAGCGATACGGATGCGGAACCTGTACAGGTATGCGTTTTTTGTACAATGTCTGCATTCCTAAAATTATATCATTTGTGGAAGACAAGGTCTGTCGGTCGTCGCAGTGGCTATAATATCCTTGGGTCTTATGGGTGCAGGCATGGAGAATGCTCGACTTGCAGGCAAACTCTGCAAGCTCTCACGGCTTTACTATGAGGAAGCTGGTCCAATCTTCCGTGTAAGCTTCTCAACTCTCCACTTCATTYTGTGTCCTCTTTTGGGTGTATGGCTTTCTAATTCGTTCTGGATAAATAAGTAGTTATGGACTCCTCGAGGCGTTGCTACTTTTGGGGAGGGCATTCCGACTATATCTCGCCATACTATTGTTTCCGCTTACCGTTAATAATGTAAGTATATCTGACACATCCTTTGCGTAAAGGACTTCCATTTTCTTTTAATTCCTTCGGATAAGTGACCGATTATTTCTCGTCATGCTTTGAATGGTGGCTCGACCGGAAATTGGCCGCAATTCAAGATAAGGCTGTCAACGGGTGGGATCCGGGTCCGGTCTAGGTGGAAGCACTCCCGAGTTGATCATTTCTTGGGACAAAACCTTAGACCCAAAACCGTCCATTTTAACTTAAAATTTAAGTTGAAACAAAAACATAGGTTTAAAACCGAACCATTTAAGCTAAAAGACACCACTTTTCTTATTTAAATCGCAAACTAAAATTAAAATTTTAATCATATATGATTAATAAAATTGATAGAAAAATACTAAGTTACTTATATGTTAAAACGTCAGGCACCTTTATTTATCTATCTATGTATCAGACTTGACATTTAAACCTATATAAGAGCGAAACCGTAAGAAAACGAATGAAATAATATATATGGTTAACAAAATAGTCGGTTTTGGGCATGAATCGATTCGGGAGGGGCGAGTTCTGGAACCGACCCAATTATTTATTTCAACATAATCGTGGAGCCGGATCCTTTATAAATGGTTGGGTCGATTCGGGCCAACCGGGTAGATCTGAACCGTTGACAGCCCCTTCAAGAACATGAACGATGATAGCGATTGTGCTCTAGCAAGGTTGGTATCCCTTTTCCTTCTCCCTTCGGACCTGTAATTTGAGGTAAGGACCTTTCAAAACCGCACTCGATGTTCGTACCTTTGTTATTGAGGCATAAGATTTTGTCTTGCGAAGTTGGTTTTGGATTTTCACGAATTAATAAATTCTGCTAATGCTATTTGTGCCTTGTCATTGCAGGAACATTCTAATGGGTTCGGATTG